CTGTATATAACAGCAATGTAAACATTGCTTTTATAAAGCAGATGAACTGCAATTCTGTTACCATTATCAATAGGACAAATGTTTTTCTTTAGTAAAATACTCTTATCTACAGGCTGATGTCTGTATTTCTCTTCTGGGAACTAATTTAAACACTTCATGAGAGATTGACATTTTCAGTGCGTTACACATCCTTAAAAGCTGCTTTGTTCATTGCAAACCATATTTAGTATGACCTCATAATAATGTAGCACACCTCAAGTGTCATGCCTGTCTTTACTATGCACTTTGGAGCTGTGTTCATCTATATCAGACAACTGCACTTCAAGGAAAGGTTTTTTTTTTTTCCTTGATAGGCTATTAGCAATAATTAGGAAGATTCACTTCAGTAAGATGTCAACACCAGATTGTTTAAAAAAGTTGAATGTCAGTGGCTTTTAAAGCGAGTTCTTTTCCCTGACACATAGGTATGGCATGTGAAACATGAAATGTTAATTTAACTTTTCTGCTTATTATTCATGCACAATATTATTTTGTCATTCAGATAGTACACTGACTGAGTGCAAAGGGTGTTAAAATAGTGCTGCTAGAATAAAAAGAGGATTAATCTACCATTGGCCAATTAGCCAAAGGGTACTTAATGGTCTCTAAAGGCTACTGAAGTCTAACAACTAGCTAAAGCACTGGCAAAAAGTCCTCTATATTACCTTCATTTATTTGACATTTTGTGACATAGTCGGCTGCTGATAACTGTGTTTTGCTGAAAAAAAATTACAACTAAGTGGTTTGGTAGATTTTACTAAAATTTCAGGAGAGTAGATGACAAACATGTTCCACATTTTAGAAGTTTGTCTTCCTTGGGGGTTGTATTTGTTTCAGTTTAGGGTTAGGATATTAAATCACCAAAGACTTCTGTTTGATATTTTGTCTTCATGTCTAGAATACTAAGTAATCAACCACTTACAGCACTTGCATGAGAAGATTGAGGATTTGGACTTATTTGCCTTTTCTCTATATGATCACATTAAGTATGCAGCACAGTTAGCTTTTTAGTCTGGTATATATCTTTTCATATTTTCAGCTACATACCATCTTTATTAATTTTAGCTTTTTTTTTTTCGTCAGGCAGAGGAAAGTTTTGATTCAAGAGAACAAAAAAAGACCAAGTTTAATGGGGTTGACATAATAAATTTGTCTTGGATATTGTGAATATGTTTACCGTTATGTTATAGTAACATTTGAGTGAGTAAAGTCATAAATACCTAACTCTGTGCCTCCAAGTATGATTTGAAAAGTTCTTACTTGTTTTATGTGTACAACAAGTACTTCTTATTTTGTTGTTTTTCACAATCAAGCTAAAACTGTGAGAAAACAGAGTTCTCTGTAAACCTTTCACAGAAAGTGTTAAATCTTAATAGAACCCGGTATAGAATCTATGCATATAGCAAATGTATTTTATTGCCTACTGTAGCAAGAAGTCTTAGAGAAAAGGAGTGTGTTAACCTCAGTTTTCTTAACAGTTCTTGCAATATTTTCTTGTGCCAGGATTTTAGGATGGGAAGCTTCATAGCAAATAGGATTTTTACACATCTGAGTATATTAGCTATATTTGGATTACAAAATTGGTAGTGAAGCAAGTTTATGTCATTGCTTAAAAAGGTTTTCAAGAATACCTGATTTACATCCTGTTTTATAATTTTGCTTAGAAATGTTTTCTATATGATATATTTTGCAAATATAAATGCATGGGATTGTGTTACAACAGTGGCAGTGCAGTCAGCCCCTACTAACAGAAATGTTATTTTCATACATGCCAGTTGCAGTAGGAGGGTGACTGCTGTAAACTGAGTTCAAAGGCCCTCACAGGGTGGTTGTGATGCCAAGGGGCAATAGGCCATTCCAGGAACTTCCTATGTTAATCCATTTGGCCTTCCACATAGCTGTCTTTCTGAGAGAGCATTTATGGTGAAAAGCCTTGCTGAGTCAGTGGAAGTGTTACACTGAGTACGCAGAAACTGAGATTTCATCACTTATTCCTTTGTGAACAGCAGAACAGAGTGTCATGGGTATACCAGGAGCAAGGAGATTAAGATAGATGGATGTTAAAATATTGAACCTATAAACATCTGTTAAGCCAAAATACTCTGGAGGAGGTGCAGCAGACAAAGGCCTCTACACTGTAGAGGAACAGCAGTAGCCTGCCTTTATCAACATCTGGTCTAGCTGGTGTTTAAGATTCTGCCTTTCGTCCGGGTGACCTCTTCCCCTGGAGTAAATTCTTTTTACTCTGTCACTCAGGATTTGCATGCATGGTAGCACACACACAAAACTTCCACTGTGTCTAAAAAAGAAAAAATAACAAAAGGCTTGACCTAAAATGTAGCAAGTGGTGAGGAACAGCAGGGTAATGAACTTGCTTCTTAAGTAAGTAAATGCAAGGAATATCTTTTAGGCATAAATATTTTCCTAGGGCATGGGGGCTGTTTTTCATGTTGCACATAGATTGATATAGGATTTTCACATAGCCGTTCAATGTATTGTGAATAGAAGAGTAATGGAATAGAATTAGCAGTGCTGTAGCATATTTACATTGTCAACAGATGTATTGAGACAACCTCTTTGATATCTCTGATTGCAATTGCATGTTTGCCTGCTTTTGCAAGCTGAGGGTGTTTGCCTTGTACATGTGTTACTTTCACTTCATCCCTGTCATTCTGGTACTGTTCCTGAATTTATGTAGATTCTTATTTTAAATTCTTTTTTTCTACATCTGTAAATAAATTCTACAACCAGCTGTCCTCTTTAGCACTCATCCCATGAAGACCTTATCTTTTTTCAATATATTTGCTATAATTTTTGAGAATGTGGCCAGTGCAATCAGGACATTTTAGAACTGATGCATATTGGCAGCAGCAGTAGCCTAAGAAACTTCTGAGAGTCACAAGCTCTCTTGGGCAGATATGGGGGCATTTCTAGTTTTAAACAGAGATATTGATCTAGCTATATTTTTTTCTTCTTGCTTTTCTTTTTATGAATAATTTATTATAGAGACACTGAATCATGAAATTCTGCATGTAGAAATATTGGTTATACTTGACAAATTAACATAATCCTTATATTTTTCTATACTATGTCTTTCTGTACTACTACTGGCTGTGCTTATTGAAGTAGCTTTCATTTTGTCTTTTAATCTGAGAATGTATTAATTATGGGAATAGTATATCGTATTGAGGAATAGTCAATTCAGAAATACATTGACACTATCTATTTCTTTTTCAATAATGACAGCAGACACAGAAGGGAATGGCAAGATTAACCCCTTTACTAAGAGCAATGCTTACCTCAGATACATATGTAAAATGCCCAGTGACTTTAATAAGTTTGCTTAATGAATGCGGAAAAAATACTGTTAAGAGTTTTAACTTTAAATACAGAATGCAGTTTCTCATACCCATGGTATTTTTTTTAAGCTAATGCAAAATCTACAAGCATTCTCTTGTCATTCTTAATAGGAATAAATATGACTATAAGTAATTTTTCTTTTATTTGGATATATGTGATCTTCAGGTTATCAGGGAGTTATCAGGTTATTCAGCATTATCAGGGAGTGTTGCATATATAAATACATATACATGACAAGTTTTTTTCTAATACTGTTAAACAGTATAAGATCTAATTTTTTAGTTAAATAGTAAGCTACTTGGAAAGAGAATACTATTTTTAACTTTCTTTCAACCTTTTTTTTTTTTGTACCAGCATATAATCAAACACACATTTAGTCATTTCAGGCTGTCATATCTTCTCTGATTTCTGATCAGAATTCTTCACAACAGAAGGGTTTTCATTTTGTACAATTGTTCCTTGTGTTAAATTACTGTATTACAGTCTTCCTTGGAATAATAAGATAGTACTGTAGTTACCCTTTTAAGGAGCAGAGAGTTCTTGGGCCACTGTTGGCTTCCCGCTGAACAGTTTTGTGAAAGCTAACCACTAGCATGGAGATTATTTCAGTTCCCTTTTTGCAGAACAACATTCGACATTATTTAAATTAAACAATTACTTAAAACATTAGCTCTATAAGGGGTTCCATGAAATATATTGGTACAAAGATTGAATAAATCTTGTTGGTTGTCGATCAAGTTCAACAAGACTGAGAGTTTGTTTTCATGATATTTATTTGAACTAAATCCCTAACAAGGCTTGTCTGCTAATTGGACTTAGCATTTATGTTGCTAAATGAGAAGCATTTTGGCTGCAGTATAGGGTGGTAAGACCTACCCAGTGGAATAAACAACTAACATCTGTTATCCTGTCCTGCTCCAGCTTGTCTTTTAGCACTTAAGTACTTCAGCCCTAGAGTCAAGGTTATGGAGTATGTGGTTCTCTGGCTATGGTGCATGTATGTGAAAGGGATGAAATAACACACGAGTAAAGACCAGCCAACCAGAAGATATTTAGTGCAGCTGGTACACATTGCTTTAACCTCTACAAGCCCTACAAATATCAAAACAAAAGCCAAGAGAAGGGTGTATATTTTATAGCAGTTGTCAACACAGCAATTCAGGTGAGCTTACAGTGGTCACCATTAAAATGGATTTGACATTTAACCACTTTTAATATGCACTGGTGTCTGAGACAACTTGGTATTTCTTCATGTTCTGTGTAGAAATAATTGCTGAATGCCAGAGAGCTTCTAGGTAAACAGGTTTCACCAGTAACCACTGTTACACGTTTTTTTAATGATGATTTTTGCTTGTCATGGTAAAGCCAGTAAATACATTCGGTCAAAATTGAATTATTTTGCCTTTTAAAAAACTTCTTTTTCCTGCTGAGTTTGATCTTTGCCTGTACTAGAGAATTCAACCAACAATTATGCAATATAATTACAGACAATATATACTGTTTCATTCCTCTTGAATTTTGGACTGGAGAAGCATCTCATATGATCAAGCAGAAATATTTTAAGGATGAAACTGTGATTGTTTTTTCTGTTTGTAAAACAGATGTTGACCTCCAACCTGGCCAAGTGGCAACAGGAGAAGGAAGATTTACAAGGAAAATTAAAGTTGAGAGAACACCTGTCTCAAACTGCTGGCAAGAGTAAAGCCACACCAGCTCCTTCAAAGAACATTGATTTAGAGATGAAACAGCTGCAGTGCAAACTAAAGGTGACAGAACATATTATCTAGCACTGAGGATAATTTATATGAACAGTAGTTCATAACTGGGTCAAGCAGACATACTTATACTCACATGTGCCTATCATTTATATATCTTAGCCAATGATTAGCAACTGAGGTATTAGACTGCCTTTGATGGTAAGTAGAAATGTACTCATAAGCAGGAGAACTAAAAGTTACAATTAAAATAATTTTTGCAGATCAAATAGGCAAGACAGGGCATCTTGCTGGGTTTTCACACAATAATTAAATACATCTGGTTGTAAGGTGCTGTGGAATTAGTTCAGTGAGTATTGTGTTGATTCCTTTCTTCCTTTAACAAAGAGAAAAGCAATAGCTATCTGTGAAAGGGGAGCAAAGAATTTGATCTGATGGGGCAGCTTATGTTACAGTGTTATGCTACCTATATGTCACTGTTGGTTTTGTCTTCAAAGAAACACTTATTGTTTTAAATTTGTATTTTTGTAGATTATCTGGTAGGAAAATACTAATTTATTCATTATATAAGTGTTCAGTCTCTTGTGATTCTGTTACATGTGAATGGTGTAGATACTGGACTGTGTTTTTCTGAAAGCTTTCTCAGCAGGTGGCCTGGCTCAAACATATTAATTCTTTTCCTCTTCTCACTGGAGGAAATATATGTGCAACAGAACGTCCTAAAGTTGTTTTTTCCTATCATTTTCTGTTAAATAGTAGAGGAAAGAGAAAAGGTCAAAATAGTACAGTTTCTTGCTGCTAGAATAAAGGGCAGGGTAGCAAGACATCTGCCAAGGGATCAGGTAGAAGAAAAGGCCATGTTATATGGGCAACATCGCTGGCCCTAAATACTGGATTAGCTGTGCTAGTGCACAAATGTTGGTAATGCTCAGACCTCTAAGCTCTTGATGGCAATCATGGTATTACAGATCTTGGCTATACCACTCTGGATGCATAACATCTGAATTCAAGGATTAGTAAAGGTAGGTCACATTGATAAAGACATGAGGCCAGCAGGGAGTAGCCATGCAAAGGCACATAAATTCACCTACTTTAATTATGAGAAAGAGATCTTGAAACCATACACACTGACTTCTTGACTATTGTTTTTACATTTAGGATTGACTAATCTGCTTCTTTTGCTGGTGAGTGGTAATTTCTGTTAATTAGGGCTATACCTTTCAGATGAGTATCTTCATTATCCAGAAACTTAATAGTCAATTGCTCTATGCAAGTAAGAAAAATAAAAAAAGGGGGATTTATTTTTTTAACAGTTTGAGAGTAACACCCATGCTAGAAGCCTACTTTATTTGTCTGCTACATTTGAACAGCAAAATAAATAGCTGAAAAATACAAGGCTTTTTCGTTTCTGTAGGAAAGGAAACGTTTAGCAAGCATCAATAAATCTGATGTCAAAATACTAGCATGACTTTTAATTCCTTTTTCAAAATATATTACACTCATACATTCACTTAAGAGTTGAACTTGGTGATCCCTGTGGGTCCTTTCCAACTCAGACTATTCTGTGATTCTATGATTTTTGATGAAACAATATGCCATATATGCAAAATGGTATTTAGGGTGAAAATAGTCTGTGACCCCCAAATGCTGAGTAATAGAGTAAATTCGCTGCTTTCTGAATTGGATGAGAGTTTTGACTGTAAGGGCCTCAAGAGCTGCTTAAATCAAGTATCTAAAATTCCTAACTTTATCTAAGGCTAATTTAAGCTCTACAAGTCATTTTTTAGAGAAGAATTTGGCAAAAGTTGTTTGTCTGGAATAAAACTATTGTTCCAGACTATCTATCTTACTTAAAAAGGAGATACAAAGTTATTCTCTGAAATATCTGAATGTGTAAGCAGCAAAAGCTTTCCTTATAGCTCAAAATATCAAAGTACCTGGTTTTGTTGTTTAGTTTTTTTTCCTCAGAGCTATCTTTGCAGTGTTTATGTTGTATGTAATGGCTCCTGGTATCTTTGCCAATAGAAATAAATGTTTTAAGTGTGGGTGGTGAGTTTGAAAGCGAAATACCACAATCATATGTCTCTGCCTTTGAGCATGTGCAGAGGCCCACCCAAGTGTTCAAGTTCACATCTTGTGTGTAACTGTGTAACAGGGTGCTGTGCTCTACATTAATGAAGCTCAACCTCCACAAGCAGGTCTCAGGAAATTCGGGAATATTCTGCTAGCATACGTCATTTTAACAATTATCTGGTTATACCTCACATTATAATAATACTAAATAGACTAGACAAGTTATTAAGAACAATATTTTACATCTAACAATGCACACAAGAATATATACTCCCCTTGAGAGGCACAGAGTTATGTACAATACTCCCATTAATGTTAATAGGCATTACCAGTCTGCACTGAGCAGAGAAATTCTACCGAAGTATCTTTGTTTACAGCATCTGATCTGTTTGCTTGTTGTTTATACATAGTGAATAAAAAGCTGTTGTACAGCTTCTGAACCTGTATGCGTAGATGCACACATATATGTTGTGCTTATGCTTAACATGTGTGTATCTTTCAGCAACACCTTTTGGAGTTCTGAAATCTCTCTATGCGATGTGTTTGATGTGCCATTTTCAGCAACGGCATTCAATGCAAATACTCAGATTGCTAAGATGGCCACTTAGTTAAATTTCATATTTTTATATCTGTACACTGATTCTTTTATTCTGTATTTACATCTTGGGTAGATGACATGTGTGTTTGCATGGAGCAATTGAGGCACTTTTTTTCTTACTACTATATGCAATGAGGAATGGCCAACAACTGTATAATTCTCCTTCACTGGAATTACATATGCCTGAATATTAGGATCATACCTGCTTGTTACTGAAATGTAGAATTTGTGTTAGTACAGGCAAATGGAAATGTCTCTGTCTTGTGCTTTGAATTTCAAGTGACAAAAAAACAACCACTCTTGTAGATTGTCTTGTATTTGTAAAAGCACAGGAAAGGAATTATTGGACATTCTTGCTATGTAGATGTAGGCCCCTTGTGCTGTAGAACTATACCATTCAAAGATGTAGTTCAAATAAAGATCCAGTTTTCTTTTCTGTTACCTTTTCATCTATGTCATCCAAGAGAAAATACAGTCGTTATAGGTGCACTGGGCTTGCAGGTACCCTGGGGAACATACATTAATCATACATGATTAGAACAATGGAAAAGTACTCAATTTTTATCATATTTTCCAAGGAATGTGCTTCTACTTAAGTGTTTCTAGAAAGTAAGAATGTTCCTTTTGCACCAGTTAATTTCTAAGAACTTTCATAAAATACATGAAAGTTTACTCGGCTCATTATTTCCAAATTTCCTGTTGACTGCGATCATATTCAGTCTACTTTATTTATATTTTTATATTTTTCAATACAGAATTCGAATAATGAAATCACTAAGCAATCGACCACCATTAAGTCCCTAAAAAACGAAGTTCAGGAAAAAGAAGAACGGATTCGGGAACTACAAGCAAAGTATGGTCACTTTTCTATCCATTGTGTTTGGTGCCACCCAGTGACAGCTGTAAAATTGCTACAATGTTTAGCATTCTTAGATTTCTAGGAGACTGTTGTATTCTTTTTATTGCAGTCTTGCAGACTGGTACAGGGGTTTTTTTAGAAACTGCAGCAGTACATGCTAGAGTTGTAAACTGATAAGAGACTAACTAACTACAATATCTGTATTGCGGTAAGAATAACTTAAATCAAAACTAAGGCTCTAGAGTAGACTTTTTATCCTTGATGTAAGTCAAAATGAATTCCTCAGCACTGTTAAACACAGTCTTTCAAATTCAGTAATTCTTTGCCTAGGGGCTAAGAGACATGTCAAGGTTCAGATGCTTAAATAAGATTAAATAGCTACTCTTATCTTCATTAAAAAAGTTCAAAAAGACAGTTGTATTTGTTTCTATTTGAAATGATTAAGGTTTACTACTCATTTTTAAAATCACAAATTGTCAAGTATGCAACTGAGATTTTTATTCTACCTACCTTAACTGATATAAATCTTTTATTCAATGATATTACTATAAAAAGTATAAAAAAGCTATTTATGTATCTGTGAATTTTTTGTCTGTCCAGAATTTAACTCCTCTAACAATTCTAATTTTTTTAATTGTAGAAAGAATGCAGTTTACTTCTCTGAAATTAGTTCATGTGAAAAATAGACAGTGCTTAAAGTGGTTATATTGTGTACATTGTTTATTTTCTGTTTCAAAATGAAAATGAATTTTTCCACCGTAAGATTTTAAATTCAAAATACTTATTGGATGTCATGGTTTCTTGAAAAGACAGATACTGTTTTTTCGTAAGCTGTAATATATAGTCACCAAAATAACATTATTAGTATTAGAGTGAAACAGATTGAAGAAAATTTTAGGTGCACTATTTTCCTGGGTGTTTTTTTAACATGGTATTGACATTGTATTAACTATGTTGTATTCCTGAACGTATTGCCGTCAATCCTTTTGCTTTCATTAGAAAAAAATCCAGATGTCTAAAGATATTCAGGTATTGATTATATTTATATTTACAATATTAATTTGTATCATGATCATGGAAGTACTGTATAAGGCATTCTCATTGAACTGATTAGTTTGTGGTACGTGAGACTTTCTTTTTTATTTATCAGAGAATTTTCTGACAAATGCTGATGTTATTTCTAGGTTTTGCATTTTATCTCATCTGACATATAGGGATAGAGATTTTTCATCTATTTCTGTATATTAGTTGGATTAAAGGAGAGTTCCCCATTTCACTTTCTTTTGAAAATAATTTTATACAAAATAGTGTCTGAATGATTGCTTGAGACATCAAAGGAATTTAATTATTAAGTTTTGCATGCTCAGCAGGTTTCTTTTGTCTTTTTTAATAATAGTTTAAGAATTACTGTGATTTCAGTTCAGCAAGCAAAAAGCAAATCACAAATATATTGCATATTTAGAAATAGGTCTGTTTAATAAGAGTTTGAAACTGGGTTTAGTAGTTGAGAATGGGGGAAATTGCAAGAATTGCATCAGCTATTGTTTGAAAAAGTATTTTAAAGCTACAGGAATAATAGTTTGTCTGCTGCATTAATTGCATATTAAGAAAATTTTCTGAGTGTCATGAGTCTGACTTCTTTCCTTGTAGAATTTCTCGATTGGAGAGGGACTTTACTGTGAAAAGACATTTGATAGAAGACCTAAAGTCTCATCTGAAAGCAAGTCAAGAAAATGAGAAAACCTCAAATGAAACATTGGAAAGTCTTGAGAGAAAGGTATTTCTTTCTTGCAGTTCCTAGTTTTAGGAAAAACGGAAGCTAGTGGATTTACAGAAGTTATTTCAACACACTATACATATTAAATCAATATATTGCTTTAAGCAAACAAGATATAGTTCATTAAAGTGTGTAATTCCCTCCACTATGATTTGTATGAAATCAGTATATGGTGATAGCTTGAATGAATCCAGCATAATTTAATGTATCTTCATTAGAGGTGTAATTAAATATTAAAGTATTCAGAACACACAGTTGCAAGAATATGCTGTAAGTAGTGGGATTTAGTTTTATGCACTGTAAGTTTATAAAATATAGGAGACCTGAAACAAGGGTGATTTTACATGACATATGCTAATGAAGTTCATGCATCTCTCCTGGCTATAGTAGTTAAATGCTTTAATATGTTAATCTGTTTTCTACTGCAGTGTTATGAATGATTCACAGTTCTTAGCTTAATGTAATTGTATCTGTGTAGGTAATGCTTGACTTCTATAGCAAATTATTTTATCCTGCACAATTTTAGGGTGATTTCATTGAAGATAGGAGAACTTGTATATGCTTTGGCATATTTCTATGTTATCCAGCTGATATATTGGACTTCGGTCTTTAATGCCAGAAAAAGATTATAATGTTTGTTTGTCTGTGAGGTTATACCTCTTGCAATCCCAAAATAGAAATAAACAATTTACTAATTTGCTTGTGTTTGCCTAGAATGGGTGTGCTTACTGAATATCACAAACATTATCTCTACTTGCAGTCATATAGCACTTTCAGCTCTAAAGAGAGCTACTATCTTACCTTACATGCCAAAGATAAGGTGTTATTAGGAAAACCACAGCCAGAAAGTGACAGCATAAGTAAGCAGGGAAGCTAAAGTATGACATGAGAGAAATATGTGGTTTTGGTTTTAGGTAAAAGATTTGGAATGGAATGATGTGCTTTAATGCTCTCCTTTGAGTATTTTAAGCACTGCATTTCCAGAGAGTCAAATCCCATGCATTATTTTGATTATTCCGGGTGGAAAATCAGCTTGATAAATTTTACATTATCTTCAGCAAAAGATCAAAGAAATTCCCTGTTACTCGATATTGTCAGGAAAACTTTGTGATTAATACTATCAGGAGTGATGAATGATCTATTAATACTATCAGGAGCACTGGTCTTTTTCATTTTACCCCAAATCAGTGTTTGCATTAGATAATAATTATCTAGGAAGCTCTACAGACTATTAACATGTAGACAGTTGTTTTCTTGGTTGAATTATGTTTTTACCTCTAACAGAAGAAATGAGTAGCAGTTGTGGATGGCTCCCTTTTGCAAGCACTGTAACTCTAAAATATATATAAACAAACAGTTCTGCAGATATATATAGAATATATGTAAACAATAAGTTTTGACTTAATACAAGTCAAAACTCATGTTAAAAGGTTGTGTGCAAACTGGTCTCTACTGGATCAGCAGTAGAGATTTAATAAATACTGTAATTTCTGAAAAAAAGTATTTCAATAAAATTATATAGCAGAAGTATGTTAATGTAATATAGATAGGCTTAGTTTTGATTTTATTTTAATTTTTTAGTTATACATCTTGATAGTCAATGCTCTTGGCCTTTCATTATTTCAGGTAAAGGCACTGGCTGAAGACTGTTCAGGCAAAAAAACTTCCATTGACTCACTGAAACAAAGACTTAATGTAGCTACGAAAGAGAAGTCTCAGTATGAGCAGATGTATCACAAGGCTAAAGATGAGTTGGAGAAAAAGGTATAATTAGAGTTGTGATGGCTGCACTGTGGAACTTTTTCATACCTTTCTTTCAAATGAAAAGTTGCAAGGTCATCAGCTTAGACTTTTTAAATACAGAAAGGGAGAAAAGAGCAGAATAATAGTAATCTTTTTCTCTCTTCTGATTCAGTCGCATCTCTAAAATTTAGATACTGAAACATGGACATAATGACTGAAAATGAGATTACTTTTTGCCATTAAATTACATTTTATGTGTTGCAAGTGGAATATTCTGTGATGTTAATCATGATGTGGGAGGTTAGTTTGTTCATACATTTGTGATCTACCATAACTCCTTATCAGCTTTTATCATAGCATTGTTGTGTCTCTGCGGATGTATTTCAGGATCTCAAGCTTACCAAACTAGAGAGCAAAATCATTGAGACTGAATCTGCTATGACTGAACTTGAGACTGCTACATCTGATCAACTACATAGCTTGGCTAAACAGAGTGCAGAGGCTTTGGAAACAGTACAGAAGAAGTTGCTGCTCACAAGTGACAAAGTAGAAGAATTCAAGACATTTGTAAAGGTTTGAATTTTGATTTTCTTTGAGTGTTCACCTAAATGAAGGTAATTTTGATTGAAAGAAAAATGTAAAAGATTAAGCAAGAGCTGATCTTTGGTGCATTCCGTTTTCTGGAACAATCTTTGTAGTTCCTGCAGTGGTCTGGTGTCAGGTCTGAACTGGTCTAAATACGGAGAAAGAATCAAGGTCTCTCTCCCAGACTTACGAAGACTTCAGTAATTCTTATCTTTATATATATGGCTGCCATATACTTGTTCCCAAGAAAAAGTGCTTAGTTTTATATCGGACTACTCTGCAGCAAAAAAATTCCCAACACATTTAATATAATAATTCATATCTGTTGATCAGTGTGAAGTACATCATTTTCCATATGCACATACTTTTTATTTTAGAAATATTGAATAAGAAAACCTCTATATTGCAAAATTGAAAGCAGTTTTAGTAACAGTATATAGAATATTATTTCCTTATTTCGGCTAAATACTTAACAAACTGCTATAGCGCATCATGCAACAATACTGTCTTGGTGGTGTCAGACAGATCACTTCGTCATACTAAATCAGTGAAAAGTTTCACTGAATACACTAATATGTGTTTTATAATTTAATATTTGAAATGTAAATATTATTTATTTTTCTGAAATATTCACCACATAATTAAGAAATATGGAGCCTAATCAGTATGTGTCTGTCTTGAATACATAGCATCTGAGGGAATGGCATGAAGTTGTGTCAGGTGAGGTTTAGGTTAGATATAAGGAAAAAGGTTCTTCACCCAGAGGGTGGTTGAACACTGGAACAGGCTCCCCAGGGAAGTGGTCACCGCACCAAGCCTAACAGAGTTCAAGAAGTGTTTGGACAAAACTCTGAGGCATACTGTGATTCTTGGGACTGGCCCTGTGCAGGGCCAGGAGTTGGACTGGATGATCATTGTTGATCAATGCCAACTCAGGATATTTTATGATTCTATGATTTTATTAATTTAGCATATATCTACTATATACCTACTTTCAAACAAGACTATAACTTATTAAACCATGAAATAGATCCAGTTTTCTACTTTTCTTGGATCTCTGCAGAGGTGAGCATCTTTCAGATATGTTTGGGCAAGTGTGGTAGCATCCAAAGTAAAGAACAATGGTATTTTGATGCACTACATATAAAAAGAAGGCATATATAGTTATCTCTTCAAGAATAACTTTCAAGTGGTGATTGAAATTTAGTAACTTAAATACTTGTGCATTATATCTTCTTTCTGTTGTCATCTGATAAGGAGTCACTGTACATGGCAGTTCTCAGACCTTTCATGTTTGCCTGTTTTCCCAAGTTCGTAGAACATTAAAAAAAGGGAGAGTAAAAGGTATTCTGTTCTCAAAAGTAACTGTAATGAGCAAAATCACCCATTAGCAAGTATTATGATAACTTCATTCATTGTTGAATAAGATGACAGCTTCACTGTTAGTTGCCATGAATATTCATTAGCACTTACACAATTGTACTGCATGTGAAAAGAATGTTAATATGTAATTTCTCTCTAAATAATAATAATAATAATAGTATTTAGCTAATAAAGCTAAATACCTAGTTTCTTGCCCGGATAAAAAGAATATGCATGCATATTTCAAGTAAGATTTTTGCTGAGTACCGTTCCTCTGCAGAAAGATTTTTTTGAAAATTAAGATACTGTCTATAAGTCAAATGTTGATGAATAAGGAGTTCCGAAGTAGACTAATTTGTTTAGTTAGGTGCTAAAGTAAGATTCTATTCATGGTGTACCACTGTAAAAAAATATTGTTGAAAATCCTTGGCGATTCAGTGGAATTGCACAGTATATCAAGTAAATCCTGTTAAAATACCTCTTGTGTATCTGATGTTATAACCTGCGTGGCAAGATCCAGGTATTGTGATAATACTTACTGTGATAAGTAGCAGTACTCCTTCTTGCACCAGCTCTTCCTTTGAAGTCTGGTCTGTATCATTTCTACTCTCTTCTTCCAGGTAGCTGTCAGTTTTCCCCTGACCTTGGTTCTCCAGTTTCAGTAACTTGAGTAATATTTTCTGTATAGAGATAAGTTTAACCTTTATCTTACTTAAACAGGTTAAAATATTTGTCTTCTATTCTGATCGCTTCATAAACCTTACTTGTTTTCAGAGTGCAATTGTAATCTTCTCATTCATAAATTGAATGCAGTTGCTTTTTCTACTTATTCCATGTCTGTTGTGACATTACATAGTTCTTTTTTAACATAAAACAATTAAATTATTTCAGTTACTAATTAATGGTTACAGCTATTAATAAGACAACAGAGGAACTTCAGAGAAGAGAGTGTGACTCTTTTTGTTTATACCGGACAGTGTTACTGGCTTTTAGAGTTATTTATAACACAGAACCACAGGATCTTGAATCCATCTGGGACAAGATACTAAGTAAAAAAACCTGGGGGAGTGGTTTCTGGTACAAGTACAGTGTACATAACTGAATCACATTATGATGAGTTACTAATTGAGCCCATATTTGCAATATACAGTAAAAAGTTGCATTGCTGTGGGCACTCCAATTTAGGACACTTATGCAATGAAATAAAAGAGCTAAATTGTAGCATCTATTTAATAGTTTCCAAAAATCATGGAAGAAATAATTGCAAACAAAATTGCTGTATCCAATACGTTGTAAGTAATTATTTGACTTATTTTTGTGGGAGCATGGTATAGGGATCAGATGTTATGTCCTGAAGTGCTTTCAGTGGGAACTAACAGGGCATCTAAAATAGGTTGATTCAGAGCAGTTCATTTCTCCAAAGCTGTATGAGGAAGATATAGGCTAGTAGGAAATATGAATAGAAATTTTGGAGTGCAACAGTTTATTAAGTAACCAAAAAAACCACAGTTCCATAATTAGAGAGTAGCTCCTTATAAATATCTATTTCAGCTTAATAGGAAAGTTAACAAAATATTTAGAAATAAAAAGGCAATATAAAGGAATTGGAAATGATTTATAGATAATAACCTGAAAATATGAGCAATAATAGACTATAAAGGATGGAGAAGAGACTAAAGAAATCAAGAAGATATCTGTGGGTAGCAAGACAAGAACAATAATAAACGGGCAGTATTTAAAAATGTACTATTAATAAGGTAGCTATTACAGGGTGCATACAATCTCTATTAGATAAAAAAAATCTGTAACTGTATAAAGGTAGAGGTCTTGCATGAATATTTCTTTTCTGTGTCTGGAATGAAGTAGGCTAATGTTATATGAAGATATTACAATATCCCCAGTCTTTTAGTAGCCAAGGGAAGATTTTAAACATTTTATTAAAAAAAATAGTATTCTTGAATTGAGAATTTTTATAGCTAACAAGTTTGCTGGTTAATTCTCTTGCTGGTCCTCCTTTTGAATAAATATTCAAAGTTAGGGTATATATGTTACAACACTGCCTTGAATCTAAAAGAAGGATACTATTGAATCAATATTCAGAAAAGGCAGTATTTTAGGTTCATTAGCCTAACCTCATTTCTGGGTAAAATACTGAAAATCTGATATGAAATTCAATTATTAAAATATTAAAGCATAAGATTATGGTTATACTTCTTAGAATGCTTTTATGGAAACTAAATTTCATTGAATAAATCTGATTTATTTTCTGGAAGGTGGTAAAAGGCAGTTGATAAAGGTTACTATTAATTTTAGTATACTGTTTTTTAAGATGTCTGACCTACTATTAAGATGTTCAGATAAAAAATGTATGCTATGCAATGGCAATAATATGTTAAATGGATTAAAAATAGCCCATGCATTTGATCTGAAAAGTAAACCTTAAAATATAGGTGTCTTTAGAGTTTTGTAAAGATCACAGCTAATCTTGATTATTAAGTATTATCACAAAATTCAAATCCTGATAAAATTTGTCCATGGCATTTATGAAGACTGCAAAATAATAATGAAAGTAAGGCTGTAAGTATAATGTTAACTAGGGTCAGTGAAAAATTTTAATTACAGAAGAATGCAAACTACCTGTACAAGAGACCAGGTGGTTCTGACAATACTTCAGATACCTTTTTTAAGCTGCACATTTTTATCCCATCTACATTCCATCAGCACCATAAATTCTCTTTGAGTCATTCACTCAATTTCTATGGTCTATCATTGTTCAGGATTTTCTATAACATGTGTTGCACTATCAGATCACTATCAGGTGGATCTTGCCAGTTATGTACAGAACAGCAACTGGAGCAAAATGTTCTTTGTTGTGTTTGCTGTACCTCTGAGAACTCATGCAGAAAACAGCCATTGGATAAAGTTAAAAAACTACTATTAGAATGCTTCACTGGATGTCTATTGAAAATTTGGTACAGTGTGTTAGTTTGCTATGAAACTGTCCAAAATTCTGCATGAATTCTGTTTTCCTACATTAATGTAGTTTGGGTTTTTTTGCTTAGCTAGATTTTGACTGTATGTTTCTGTTAGAGACCTTGTAAGCTCAAGACTCAATAGCGTTGTCTGTCCCATTCAACTTGTACATGAGCAAAACTCGTTTTGAAAGGTTAATCTGCAGTGATGACACCACCTGAGTATGAGAATATCAGAGCTTTTCTGACCTTGAGGAAGATGTTTTGATTAGGCATCTATATTCAGCTCTGGCTGTAATAAATAGGTGATGGCAGCTGAATGCTTCGAAATTATCTAAGTGCATTTCTTACTTAGATAGTGCCTCTGTCATTTGGGACTTGTGTGCTTTCTACAGAGGATACTAACTGCAGCACAGTGCACATCTGGTATGTTCTGGCATTGTTCTTGATAGGTCTCCAGTACAACCATCTAATAGAAATTGACTGCCAAAATCAAGACCCACAGCAGTTTACTTGGCAAGCTTAATGGATCTACGTGGGGATCTAGCCCTCACCCTCTTAAGACATATGCCCTCATTTTGGCTACTGAGAGCAGGGCTTAAGCTAGGTGCATTTCCCCCTCTCTCTGTTGTTTGACATACAGCTGTGGGCAGC